CTTTGATTTCAAGGGTTGCACTCTGAGAAAGCGGGACATGCAGTCAACTGCAACAAGCAGATACTTAACATCATGGTTGTACTGGGCAAGTTTATCAACAAAGGCCAGATCTAATGACCAGATTTCGTCGATATCGTAAACTATGACCTTGAGTCGCGGCGTTTTTCGGATCACAGTTCGATATTTCGTGTAAGCAGGTTCAGTATGAAGGAAATGTTTAACTTTCTTTCGCGACAAATTGCTTGCTTTTATCAAGTTGTTCACACTACCAAATAACGCGAGACCTTTGTCACTGTATTTAGTTTTCAACAATTTTTCTTCAATCTTGGTAATTTTCCCATTGTTTTGTTTGCGCCTTCGTCTTTTCTGACGTTGGAGAATCTGAATCGTTATGGGGCGTTCCGTATGAGTCAGAGCCTTCTTCTGACTCTTTTTCACGTTTTTGGTTTCGGGTTTTTCTATTACCGCTGAGACTTTTTCGTTTGTGCTTTTTACTTCTCTTAAGGTTTGCACTACTTTTTTCCTGCCAAGTGGGCGACGTTGAGCGGGTTCTTGAGAGTCCGGGTTCTCGTTTCTCTTGAGCGTTAAAAGACGCTGACTGAACCGCGTGTTTGGCATTTCGATTTATTACCAGGTTTTCATTCAAGTTGAGAGCAGTTAAAATGTTAATGAACGCCGGATTGTGTAATTTTTTCGTTGGTTGTTGTATGTCGTATAAAAATATTGTAGCTTTAAGTCCTGTTGGTACTTTATCTACATATATCACCTCATTGTCACGGTTTATGGTTACTCTTTCTGAATTTTCTATGATTTCAAGTACGGTTTTTGCTCTAACAAATTTTTTGTCTTCTAAAACTTGTAACTGTCCTAAAATGCTTTCGGTCTGTCTATTGTGTTTCTCTTCTAGTATTTCGTCTTTAACACGTTCGACCGGTACTTCTTCATCGTCCGTTAACAGTTTAAGCTGTTCTTGTTGGGGCTCAACATTATCCGTAAATGTTTCCTTCGTTGCAGTAGTCTTACTAGTTTGTGGAGGTAATTGGGGTCTAAGCCGGTTAAGATAGGACAGTTGAGCATTTTTATGTTTAATATTATTATCATGAAGAACACGTGCAGCATGTGGCTGCTCTTTAACATATAAGTGTTTCGGAATTAGAATGAATTCTTCAGCAGTCATCATTAAGTTGTGAGGTACTTGTAACAAAAATAAAGTATTTGTCGAACTAAATGGAAGCCTTCTTTACTTAAAATAATCGCACGTTTTTCGACAGCACTGGTTTTTGGAGTTATTAAATATTTGTATGCTGTCTCGAATCGTTCGATGTTTGCGATTTTAACGGGTACGTTTCCATTGACTACATTGAGCAAACATTCACAAATAAGTGTTATGATCTCACGATTTGAAGTTTTTCTAATTAATCTTCTTAGCTGGTCAGGTTTCAGTTGTACCATATGCCGCAGAATAGATAAGTTTTTCTTTTTCATTTGTGATTGGAGTAGTTTCTGCTTCAGATAAGGGTAAATAAAAAACTGTTGGCCCAGGTGGTGTGATATTTGAACAATATCTCAAACAATCTGATGTACGGGGGTCCAAGTCGATTAGAAGATGTCCAAAAGAGTCTCTGGTAGCTAATTCGTAACAGTTTCTCAAAAATTTTGATACATTCAATTGTCTTCCTAATAGATCTAGTTGCTGAACGTCGCGAGGCGATTTGAACAGAATGATGTGTGAAGTGTTCAAATCAATCGTACGCGACCATCGACTTTGTTGAAACAAGTTATGCTTAACATATATTACATCTATCCCTCTATGTCTACCCGCTGTCGCTAACCTAACAAATTCCTTGTCATTATAGATGTCTTCATATGAATCATCGAAAACTAGAAGAACATTTTCTAATTTTCTCACAGATTCGAATCCGTCGAATTTCATGAACTCCACATTCACTTCGCGAGAAGACACTTTTTCTGAGAATGCAGGTTGCATCTCTTTGTAAAGATATAGAACGGTTCCAAATTTAGGGTAAAAAGTATTTCCCATCAGAAGTTTCAAAATTAACTCAGTTTTCCCGGATCCTGAAGGTCCCACTATCGCCATAAAAATTCTTGTCGAAGTATCAATCACTTTATTCATATTCTTGGGTTTGGTAGTACGTAACCAGCCAAGCCTGATAAAATCGAGAACCAAACTGACGTTTCTTCGCAACTTAATTTAGTGAAAGAAAGTTTGAGAATGCAGAAAGTTAGTAAAATTAGAATTACTACCATTTGCGCAACAAAAACTACTTCAGACCTTGGCAAAGTTACATTGTTACAAAACTTCCATGATTTTTTTTCACTGTTTGTCTCGTTATAAACAAACTCTGTAACTAATGTTGCGTCAGGTTGATCTACTGCTGTTGTTGCTTCTGACATTTGAGAAACTATTTATTCTACAGACTGTGTTAGACTTTTTCTCTCTGTCAGTGTGAAATCTCTATCATTTATGTCATGCATTTCTAAAACAAAGTTTGCTGGGATATTTGCAGTTTTTTTGTGGTACATTATTTTCTTCACAGTATCCTCTTTCACAATCGTCTTAATCTCATCTGGCAATTCACTGCTGTTTAGATCCATCTGAACTCCTGGCTGACGTTTGGGTACTAAGACTAGTTCGGGAAGATATACTCCTCGCTTGCTGGCTAACATTTCTGATAAACTTGAATCTCTGGAAGTATACAAATTGATCAATAACTGGAAAAAACCTCTTCAACGTAGACAACTCTTCTTCGGAAATTATTATTTGCTCCTTCCTCTGAACAATTTGGCCACTGCAATCAATACGCTCTATTCTCGTTAATGAAATTTTAATATCACCCTCTGGAGTCATCCACGCACAAAGCATTGAATTTGGTGATAGGTATGTCTCCACTTTCGCTGATCTCTCGCTGTTGTTCATTTTTCAACCAATCATAAAAAACCTTGGTTTTCTTCAGGGCACAATGATTCCTGGAGTTGTAATGTGGAATATGTTTATTGCAACTTGGATAATTTTTAAAATATAAGTTTTCAACCCGAGGACAGCCCAAATCATCTAGGTTTTCAATCTTTCGGTCCAAGTACTTGGCCAAAAATTCTGTCTTTTCTTTTCCTTTAGCGTAAAAAACGGCACCGGGATTTCTCAGCACAAAACTCTGAAGTATTTGATTCAAGTTTATATAAAGATAATCACCGTTTTCCCAATGGAGACCGTGTAAATAATTTGTTAACCAGTTGTAAGCTTTTTGTTCAAGCTTTGGTAGTATATTGAAATTCACTGGAGGTAAGAAAATGAGTCGATCGCTGTAGTCTGAAGTTGTTATTGCTAATTCTTTAACCACAAAGGCGTTTTTCTTGTAACGAAAGCCTTCCACGTCAAGCACAACTGATCTCTGGCCTAGCATTCTAGTAAATGATAAACTTCTGGTTTTTTCAACTTAATGAAAAGGCAGAACGCTATTCCACTCAAATGTCCCAATAAGCTGTTGTTACAGTTCCAGGGCAACATGTAACAGTACGTGGGACCCTGTTGATAAAATTCGTGTATAAATCCGGCCGCATCGTGCAAAATAGCGTGCAATCGTAAAATTTTGGAATTTTTCAAGTATTTGTCCAAGGAAGAGTTATCAATACCAATCAAGCCACCATAAGGTCTCAACTTAATTAAAATGTCGTAGTTAAGGTTATCAGAACTAACAAAAAACAGAGAACATGCAGCTAGAAAATAGTTGCGTCGGTTAGAATTATCAGGATAAGTTTGTTTCAAAGAGGTATAGATTTCGTGAATTATTTTCAAATCAATAGGAGTTACTCTGCTTTTTTGCAATTTCATTATTTATTTTTTCCAACACCTCTCCAACCTGCTGAATTTCAAGCCAGTGGAAATAGAAGTGACCTTGCAAATACCATTTAGTCTCATTAAGATAACGGTGGTAAATAATTAAATAAACCACCGGAAGTTTTTTGTATTTTGATAGCTTGTTGAAACATAGACGGATTTTTCTCTCCAAGTCTTTTTCAACCCTTTTTGAGGTAAAATCAAACGAATAGTCGAATACGTTTTCATAATCAGCAAGATTCAAATCGCTCACAGTACCATACTTTTGTTTTGTAGAAATGCACCAAGAGATTTGTTGAAGCTCACTCAAATAAAATTGTTCTTTGAAAATTAACTCGTATTCTTTCTTTGAAATTTCCTTTGCCCTTTCGAGGAAGACGACGTAGCGTTCATTACTAAATTTGAAAAATGAGTTTTTTTCTGCGGTTGAAAACACTCTTAATTGTAAATGTTCATTATCAATATCTTCAGTACACCAAGTTCCCTCTAACTTCATTTTTCTTATTTCAAAATTTGTCAAATTTATCATTTGGTATATTTTGCCCAGAAACGGCCGCCGCCTTTTGAGAGTAATTTCAATTTACTGCCTTTTCACCATAAAATTTAGGTCAAGTTAAGGAATTAGTTTACTGCTGCCAACAGTTAAGCTACGCTGCCAAAATGGCCGGCGAATTTTTATTATATACCATAAAAGTCAATTCCCCGTTCACTAACAAATTTCAACTCGGTCGAAAGTTCATTTACCCTAAACAAACATAACAATTAATATGATTCATATAATTAATCAGGACCAATAATTAGGACCCCAAAATTTGGAATTAGAAAGATTTTTGTATCGTGTCCCTTGTTGTTAAGCTAAACTTAGCAAGATCCTAAGTAGGGGGTCTTCTGCTTTTTGGGTGGAAAATCTCTTTCGTTTACAAAATCCTAGGATGAGGGTCCTCCAAAAAATTAAGGACCCCTTTCCTAGGATTTTGCTTTACGTGAGGACCCCCCCCCCCCCTTAGGAAGGACCCCCCCCCCCTTAGGATCCGGGACACGATACAATACTACTTTCCGCAGCGAAAACCTCAAAAATGTTACCTCTAAATTTAATGTTAAACAAAACAGTGGTGAATAGTGACTCATGCCAATAATTTGTTACCTGAGCGAATACAGCGTTGATGGCTGGGGGTGGGAACCTGTTGATGGGCACAGTCCAGAACAGTCTGTGGAATCTGAGGTCACACTCTTTGTTCTCACTCTCAACACTAGTGAGGATATCCATCAGGTAGCTGTTCTCTTGCAATGGCAGCCCATACGACTCACCTAAATAGATGACATTTTACGAATCAATCGCAAAAAAAAGAAAAGCTCAATCGGATCGCCGCGTTTTTGTATTCCACGGGGTATTCGGGCGTTTTTTTTCCACGGAAATCAGATACCATAAACAAAACTTCATTTGAATTCGATTGATGTATCAGATTAAGGCACTTTCAGCCGTGATTCGAATTTTAAAAATGAAATTCAATTTTGTATACAAAAAAAAACATACTAATCCGAAATAGTTATGACAATGAAATAGATAAGCAACGGCTAAATATTACATCGAGAAATTTAGTGACACAAATCGAGACGCGCAGTGTCGAGATGTGAACAAATTTCAAGATGCAATATAAGCTGTTTGCTTATCTGGTATAAAACACACGTGAAAAGCCGTTCAAACACTCACTTATAGAAGAAATTCACGCCAATTCAATTTTCACGTTCGATTTTCTTGGCTTTCTTGACCAAATAAAGCACAGAAGCATACTAGCGTTTTATTTTTCAAATACTGCAAGACCTCAATTAGATTCTAACCCTGTTCATTGACACTTGAACATTTTACCTCTGAAAGGTTTACAATATTTTTACTCAAAACCTTTACATTCTGGCAGGGGCCGATCTAGAATTTTCCCGAGGAGAGATCAAAAAATTTCGAAAAATTTTATCAACCTTTTTTTAGGTCAACCAAACTGATTTTCCGAGCTCTCACAAATCACTACAAAGACCCAATTTTGACCAAATTTTCTGCGCAGCAGGCGGAACTTTGAAAAAAACCGGCCAAAAAAGGCGTTTTAGTCACCTTTTGGAAAATTTAGACCAAATAAACGCATTTTCTCGGCGCGCGCTTCCCCCTCAAAATTAGTATTTATTGGTGGCCGCCTGCCAAAAATGTAGATAGCAAAAAAAACAAAGAGGGGACCCTTTGGGTAGGCAGTGGATCGAATCCCTGAGGGCGGCATTCTGGCAAACTTATTTTGAACCTCAGAATAAATATGAGCTTTCTGAACAAGGCAGAAAAGATAACTTTAGCGTGAAAGCAAATTAGTAATGATTCTGAAGTTTACTTTTCAATAACACCTATCAACACAGATGCGATGCTGCGCTTCGCAAACACGACAAAAAGCAGCTCTATAAAAAGCAAAAAAGTAAAAGTAGAAACAATCCTCGAATTATTCAAACTTCAGCCACGTCTCGGATTCGAACCTACGACCTACTGCGACTTAGAGAATATGATTCTCACTCAGTCACGCACAAACCGCTTAGCCACAGCCAGTGTTGACCATTTTAAACGGAGATTTAAACAGAGTTTAAACTGCGTTTAAACTGAATAGGTTAAACTTACTCCAAAGTGGTTGCAATAGTTTAAACTAATTAGTTTAAACTGCCGTTTAAACGAATTGTCAAATTGAAACGCTCATCATTCATAGCCATCCAATGAGTAATCGCCACGCTAACAGTTGTTCACATAAATCTGGCGCCACGTTTGCAGTGTGGAATTCTGTTAACTGCTTTCGTTTTGTATCACTGTGATTCATATTCTGAGCTCATTTTTCACATTGCATTTCTTGTTAAAGATAAAATCGGCCGACCAAAATCAGAAGATCGATTGGTTTATGATTCTAAGTTCCAGAAAACTCAAGATGGAAAATGGCAATGCCTTTTATGTCAACAAGTTCTTCATGGCAAACCTCAAAACTGGCATGAGTTCCGAAAAGAGGTTCAGGTCTTTTTCAAAGGGGGTCCTAGCGTGTTGCCTTCTCAATCCTTCAAAACAGGCTCGGGAGATGCTCTCAGATGCTGAGATCAGTTCAGCGAAACAGTATTTACTACAGTATGAAAAACTCACGGATGTGCCTATTGATGTCGGAGAACTCTTGAACGAACCAACTACCTCAACCTCTGATCCAATCGAAAGTATATTCGAGAATGCTTGCCCTATTCCTGCCAAAAGAATTGCCACAACATGTCATGCTTTAACCCTGGAGACTGAACTTGAAACTTTTTTGCAAACAATTGATGACCAAACTTGTGCATTTGACTTTTTCAAATCACATATAAACCAGAAGTCATTTCCAAGACTCTCAGAAGTTGCTAGGTTTGTGCTGGGAATTCTACCTTCTCCTGCCGTGTGTGAACAGAACTTTTCTCGGGCTGCTATTCTCACAGAAAATCGCAGAAACAAACTCTCAATGCTGTCTGTGAAGAACCGTTTAATTCTCTCATAGATTGTTGATGCTTAAAAATGATAGTTAAATTTAGTGATAGTTTAAACTGTGTTTAAATTTAGCGATCCCAGTTTAAACGGGAAATCTCAGTTTAAAAAAATTTAAATGGTCAACACTGGCCACAGCCACTTAATTCACGGCAAAATAGCCATAAAAAACAGAGAACGGATGCTATGCAATTTCCAATGCTGCAGTGAAATTTCCATATAAGTGAACACTTTCAATGACCACACTTTCATTTGCGAGTTAGGTTTGATAAAAGGTTCGTACTAAAACACTAACGCTCGCTAGACTGAATACACTGTCTTATTCCTGCAAAAGAAATCTTGACTTAAACGACTTAGAAAAAAATGTTTTGGGAGGAAAACCATCGGTTAATTATCAGACCTGATCTTGCTTTCTGCATTAGAACAACTCCAAACTGCTGAGCCACTTCAGGGTCATGAATTCCGATCTGAAGAGCCAAGTTTGAAACAGCCTCAGAGATTAATGTTGCCGTGAACACTTTCACAGTCTTCACCACACCTCCGGGTAAAATAAAACACTGTCTCTTACTCGATCGGTAATCACAGAAGGCTCGCATTTCGCTCACCCCTGGAAGTTCCGTTCTACCTCCGTACTTGAACGTTTTGGCAAGGTTCTGGAGGACCAGGTTTCGCATGTTAGGTGGATGTCTGGACGCGGAGTTGTTGAGGAATCGCCATAAATATCGTTTCAGGGTTGTAGAACACTGCGAGTAAGAGGCCAAGAGAGCAAATATGCGCCAGTACTTGAAATATCCAGAGTCTCTCCTAAAAACAAGACAAACATCGAAGCAGAAAAAACCACCGTCTCCATTAATCAATCGGCTCGAAAAAGTTAGTTGTTCTGAGCAAGCTATTCAAGCAATGAAACGGCAAAATATCTAGATTTTTTCAGTTTTTCAGGCAAACATTTCCATTTTTTTTCAAGCGATGTTAGTTCGAAATAATTCGGAGAATTTCACCTTGATAAGGATCGCAAAATTTTTCTGAGCAAGCCATTCAAGCAATTTTTTTTGTTATTTCAAACTTTTCGCGAGAAATTAGTTTTTTGTAGCAAACCATTCAAGCGATTAAATTTTTGAAAAATTCAAGCTACTTCATAGTGAATCGACTAGCAAAAAGTTCAACTTTTTCTCAACGATGAACGTAGGAAGTTACTCTCTATCGCGAATCTATTGGATGATCTTCGAATTTCTTCCAAGTAATGTATAGCGTGAATCGTTTCTCAATAATTCCAAGAAATTCTGAGCAAGCTACTCAAGCTTTCGATTTAGTTCGACAAAATTATTTTTGTCAAGCAAGCTAATAAAGCAATGTAATTTTGAAATAGTTCGTTTCGTGGAGCGAAGCGTTAAAAAAACTTCAAGCGTTCTAAGCAAGCTCTTAAACTTGTTCTAAGCAAGCTCTTCAAGCGTTAAAACTTTGATACATGTCAGATTTGCAAGTTGTTTCCTGGGCAAATCTGTTGCCGAACAGTTTTCAGTATCTAAAAGCAAGCTATTCTAGAGATGAAACTTTTAAATGTTTTGTACTTTTAGAGTAAATTTGGAGAACGAAACAGTTTGCAAAAAATTAATTATTTCTAATCAAGTCATGATTCAAGCTTTTCATGAATTTTTCGGTTATAAAAAAATCTACGAGCGCATGTTCGCAAACAGTTTTTCGAAGCAAGCTATTCAAGAGCTAAAAAGTCGAAATAAGTCAATATTTTTCAAATAGCGATTTGGTTTGCAAAAAAAGCGACTCAAGCTATGAAACTTTTAAATCTTCCAATTCATGTCTTAGAGCGAAGCGGTTTACAAAAATCAAAGCGTTTCCAGGCAAAGTATTCCAGCCAGGAAACTTCAAAACGTTTCGAGATACTTCACCGGGTGAATCAAATATCAAAATTTTTAATTTTTTAGAACTCAGTTCAAGTGAAGAAACCAAGTTATTTTGGAGAAAAAATTGGTGCGCAAAAGCTTAAAAAATCAAAGCAAGCTAATCAAGCGATGGAACTTTGAAATACTTCAAGTTATTCTGTAGATTGGAATGGTTCGCAAAGAATATCAGTTTTCGACGTATGAGCAAGTGTCGTGGTAAGTTGGTTTGCTTCAGAAAACGACAGGTACTGCATAGCCTTGAAATTGAGTCGAAATTATCTTGTCAAAAAATAAAACTAGACACAGAGGCGTAGCTGCGCTTCGCAAACACTAGTGAGAACACAACCAAAAAGCAGCTCTACCAAGTGAAATAGGAAAAATAGAAATAAGCCTCGAATTAGCAAAAACTCTGCTACGTGTAGGATTCGAATCTACGACCTACTGCAATCACAAGATTTTGAGTCTCACGCACTATCGACTCAGCCTCGCAAGCTTTACAACCGAAAAACACTAGTCACGAATAAAAAGCTGAAGGCATCCACACTAACTTTGCGTTTAAAAAATCGCAAAGCATAAAGCGACATTATGTATAAAATATGCATTTCAAAAAACTGCGAGATATATTCAATTAGAAAATTTCTGAAATCGAGTTTTCATTATTGTTAAGTTGTTTGAAACAAACCACTTTTTGCGGTTCATTTGATGAATTAAAAATGCATCAAATGTGATAACTCATTACTATTCGAATGTCAAAGCACATGCTATCAAAAAGCTGTAGAGGTAACCCACCATTATTGGGGTGCAGCACCAATATTTGCGACTTAGGTTGGAAAAAAAGACGGTTCGTACTAATATACCCGCTTCGCTTTTAAATATTCCTGACATAAGAATTTTTGAAAGATCTAGAATATTCTTGGACTTTCTTAAACGTGGAGCCTAATTTTTTTTATGAAGTTGCACTTGATAAAATTTACCATTGCTTAGTTTAACATGGCGTTCATAAATAGCGCATTCTGACTTTTAATATATTGATATTCTGCGTATCTTAGGATTATATATTCATCTCTAGTCATCTTAAGAAAACTGTTTTGATTTGTTTTTACCGTGTAACACACCATTCGGCACTCAAATTGCTGTAAAAAAGACAGAAATAGCCAACAGATACTCTGAAATGGAAAAAAACGAATTCAAAGCAAACAAAAATCGACAGGTTTTTTGAGTTCTTAGGAACATTGCGTCATTTCAAAGAATTTAAGAATTTCCGAAAACTTTTACGAATGATACTTTTTCCAGAAACTAGCCCAATTTGAGAAAACTGGATCAAAATACAATTTTTCTAAAGAAAAATTTCAAAAATTACGATCTACTTTTCTTCAAAGTCATGTTTTTATTTTCGGAAACACCACCTGACTTAGTGCAAATTCACTTCAATCATATACACTCAAAAGAAGTAATTTTTAGGATTTTTACCCTCTGTCATAGTCGGCTCTCGTAACTTGCTTGATAATCTGACAGTAGATTTCATCAGACAATTGCACCGATAACTTTGATATCTAAACAGTTGAAATCACAATTTGTCAGTGGATGGCAAAGGTTCGTATTTTACAAATGAAATTTCTTCTTCTGAAAAAAATCAACACGACATATATAAGTGTCTTCACTGCGTTCATTGACACATAAAAAAAAACTGATATTTAGAATGAACAAAGTACCTTGAGAATTTCGTAGACAATTTTGAACTCTCCCTTCTGCTTGAGATTTATATCTCCCGCGTATCTCAGCAGTTCTCGGAACACTTTCACGGCGTACAAGTTGTCACTCACTGCCTTTAAGTCAGTCAAGGACTTCTTGATTGGCTCCCGAGTATGGTGCAGTCTCTTTCGCAGACGCATCACGTGGTCCTGTGCCAGAGCAGGGCGCACTTTTGCCGATGCTAAAATCAAAACTTGAAATAAGCGGAGGAACTTCTTTGGTTTTTAATGACTGACTGCTTTTAAGCAGTACCTGCGACATGGAGATAAATGGTTAGTCAGAAACTGTTATTTGATCTTTACTTGTTCAATAAAAACCTTAACTTGTTAGTCATAATAGTCTTAAAATATTTTTAGAGGATAGTTCTTTCAACTGGGTTAGTAAAACAGCATCTTTTTGGTGCTTAACGACATCTCGGAAAGGCGAATCTAGTAAACCTACAAAACCAAAGGTCGATAAACTCCGAGACTCGCCCCTAATGGAGAGTATGTTAAATAGGTACTCACTTATGTTAAGCATGTTAAATGGGTACTCACAGTCCTTTGGAGGTCGGAAGTGGTTCATCGCATACTCCAGCATCGATCCCTTCATCACGGGCAGCGACGGATCAGTGACAGAAGATTGCGACATCAGATCCTTTACAAATTAATTAATAAAAATTTGCAGAAAACTTTTGATATATTAAGCACATTAGTTTCACCTACAATTAGCCTTTTTATACGCAAGACTTTTTATACATAAACTGTTCATAAATCAAATAGTTTTTGTTATTTTCATTTCATTTGAGGACATAAGCAATTTAAATTTTTTTTCACAGAGTCGATCTTACCACGCGAAAAAAAGTGGAGAAGCGGTCGGAAAAAAATCAAAGAATGCAAGGAAACAAAAAAATTGCGTTGTTTTTTGAAAACTTTCAAAATTCAAACTAAAAAATATGGCCTTCAACCTCTTAGAATTTCTGGAACAGTTTATGATTAACACTTTTTCGATCAAATTAATCCAATTTTAGAAAATAAGATTAGTAGGCAATATTATTATTCCGCTGAAAAATCGAAAAGTTGAAGTCCATTTTCGAAGAAAAAAATCAATTCGATCTATACAAATTTCTTCACTACGCTCCTTGACGCTTCTAAATGCACAAATTCGAAAGATATATCAGATGAAAGCTCTTTCAGTTAAAATTTGAGTTGCAATGAAAAACTTCTTGGTCTAAAAAATATCAGGAAAAAAATTATATAAAAAGCGAGAAGAGCTCATGAACTCAATTACTTGCTTCAACAAGTATCTCATTATTCACCAATTAGGTTGTGAGCAAAAATTTTTTGTCAAACGAAATAAAAAAAAACTGCCAACAGACAGTTGGAAAAGAGTCAATGAACATATGTAAATAGCAAAAATGTTGACTTGTTCCATGAAACTTTCGAATTCAACGAAAAAACAGATGCCCTCAAAGCTCTTTGATTTTCAAGAACAATTTATGATTGGCACTTTTGAAATAAAATTAACCTAATTTGAGAAAACTTGATCAATAAGTAAAACTTGTAGTTTGCTGCGAAATCTGAAAATTAAATTCCACTTTCGTAACTGGAAATTGATCACGTTTTTCAAGACCATTACATTTTACTGTCCGATAGCGAAGTTTGCCTTCCTTTTAAGAAAAGAAATTACCTGAAAAAGAAAACAAAGTTCAAACCGCGAAAAGTTATTTTTAGCCTGAACAAATTTTGAATTTTCATGAAAAAAAATTATCGTGACCTATATAAGAGTCTGCTCTATGTTTATCGACTTTGACTGATTAAAAAAATGCAAGAATAGAATTCAAATTTTCTACGTTTAATTTAGCTGACATAATAACCTTCGATCTTTTAAAAACTCCATGAAAGAATTTAATCAAGTTCGAACTATCTCACTAGAAATTATTAAAATAACAGCAGGAAAAACTTGAGTCCTCTCCCCAAAATGCTGAAAACCTAACAAAAATATGCAAAGACAAAATTCACCTACCTGACTGTCATCATTTCTGAAATTCACCATTCTGAGTTATTTACAAAAAGTCTAAAACCCGGTTGCAACAACTTTTCTTATCGCAAAGGTAAAAAAAATAGACGAGTATAAAAACGAACATGGCAATCCAGCAGCTGTGCAAAAAGAAAAACCATCTCCGGACTAGTAATCACATCATCAAAAACTTATTCTCGAACTTCAAAAATTTCATTTTATTTTCCCACTAGTTTGGGGCAGCCAGAGAACTAAATAACAGCTTCGATTTTGAGCCAAAGTCGAACGATTTCGAAAATTTAAAAAAAATCAGACTTTCTTAATCTTTTTTGCGATAGCTTTTGAAATATCTTTTAGAAATCCAAATCACGACTGAATACCTAAGTCAATACCATACGATTGGTCAGTAGCGGATTTGCGGTCCCCCTTGGTACTACTTCGAGCTATCCATGATCTTACATTTTTTTAAAGACGCCAATCTGTACTAATTTTGACGAAGAGCGCGCGCTGAAAAAACGCAATTTTTTGGTCCAAATTTTCCAAAAAGTGTCTAAAAAGTCTTTTTGGCCTGTTTTTTCAAAAATTTGCCTGGGGCGCAGAGAATTTCGTCACATTAGGGTCTTAATAGTGGTTTGGGAGAGCTCAGAAAATCATTTGGTCGACCTAAAAAAAATCGACAAAAATTTCATTTTTTTTTAGAAAATCCGCCCCCCCCCCTCGATAATTTCTTAGATCAGCGCCTTCGAGTGGTATTTGAGATGCCTATTTTAGTAGAAAACCTAGGCAATAGCTCCGTCCTACTCTTCGAGAATGGACAGAAAAAAACTTACCCATGAGATCACAGAGCTTTGACTATCCATCGAAGCAACATCCTGGTCCGACATCACAACCGAGTGATCAGAATCGGCTTGTAGAGCCATCGCCCTTTCAGTCGTAATCACAGACTCATTGAGGTAATCATCTGTGGTCTCCTGAATCACGTGATATGTCTTAATTTTAGACTTGGACACTTGGCCGACAACTCCGTTCACTTCTCCCAGGAGTGCTGGTTCCAGAGGCTGCTCATCCAGGACTCTGATGACGTCACCCTTTCGGAATTGCAAGTCGCCAATTTCTGTCGTGTGGTGATGGTCGACTGCTTTGACCAGTGCTTTAGTGGTGTTTTGCAGTTCACTGCGGTACCTTAAACAACCAAACATATTCAATTTGTAAGGTTTCAACCAATTGATTTTTATTTATTTCCTACAAAAAATGCATATAGACTTATTTGCTACATGTCAGCACAAACAATTAACAAAATTTCAAGCTACTAAATGAGAAAGTATCGTTCAGATTTTAACTTCATAACTTTTAATTCAAAACCTTGAAATTCATATATTAGTTTAGCTGCTCAGCACTGAAACGTTCCCAACAACCGCGCACTCCCCTTCCCCTATAAAAAAACCTAAATTTCGAACATTAACACCACAAAAAATTGGATGAAGAGAGCAACTTCGCCTCTAATTTAACACAGTGGGCAATCTGCCTCTTAGAACAAATGAAAATTTAATGCAGCCACTCAAAATGCTAAACCCTGAATTCTGTTCGACTGAAAACGAATACTTTAAGCCAAGTGAACGATTTCGCCCTTAAATTAGTTCAGAAAAGAGATTGACTCCAAAAAATGTAGTTAAGTTAAAACGATTTATTCACATTGGAAAGGACCAACATAAGATCTGTTAAGCTCTTTACGGAGCACCGCTGCTGTGCCTCCGCTTAAGAACTAAATGCATTTTTTGGTTATTTTTCTGGTCTGGGTCTTTTTCTGTATACGTAGCACTTACTTCTGAATGAGTCGCATCAAGAAGTAGCCTTGTTCTGTGAACACAACAATAGGCTCATGCATCTGTTGTTTGCCGATTTGAACCCTTAGTTCCAATTTTTTCATCTTCTGCTCAAACTGCACAACTTTTATAGTGGGGTAGTAAACCTCCATCACTATTTTGAACTCTCCCTCTGCATTTTCATTGGACAACAGTTTCAATCCACTGTGTGATGTGGCAATATGGGTGAAGTTCAGATATTTGCTTTTAGACCTGATGCTATCTCTATGTACAAGAACTGGATAAATTCTAGTAAAATACAACTTCCAGCTTTTCGCAGATTGAATCACGTGGTCTTTCACTTCGTCTGGAATGTAGTTTGCGGCATTGAAGTTTCGGACGTTGTTGTCTGTTAGGTATTTGATCATTTCGGACTGTTCTGTTTCGTTCAATTTGCGGGATCCAGTTGAGAACACGTCGGATACAATTTGGTGGAACAGAAGGGTTTTCAGCCTCGGATGTTCCACTTTCTCGGTAGGAGAAAACATCTATAAATGAATCTACCTCTGCTCAGTTGAAACCATTTCAATTATATTGCAACGTCTTTTGTCTAGTGGTATGTACACCAATAAATTTATGGTGTTAATCACCGAGGAGGCTCAATTACTCAGGTCAATATAATTATCGGAGGAGGACTGGAAACTAAAAATGACTGCCTTACAAATTTGCCTCACGTTAGCATCAATCTTAAAATGTAACGAGTGATTTTACAAGGTTAATATGTTTGTAATGATCTAAACAGTCAACACGCAACCTTTAACACATTTCACTTTGTCCACAAAAAAAACTAAAAATTTTCGAAAACCACCACCAGAAAAATTCAAAATGTTGTCTGGACTTTGTTGTGTTTGCGGAAAACAGCTCCAAAAACACAATCAACGGCGTTAAGTGAAAAGCATAGCCAACATACAAGTGCAAGAAAGTCAATGAACGCAAGAAAATAGAAAAAAAAACTGACTTGTTTTTTGAAAACATAGCCAATGCAATAACCCAATTTGAAAAAACTGGATCGATACTTAAATCTTTCATTTCGCTGGGAAATCCAAAAAGTAATTTTCATTTCGAAATCAGAAGTCGATCACGTTTTTCGTGACCTTTGCACTTTTGCTGTTCGATAAAGAAGTTTGCCTTCCTTTTAACAATGGAAATGCACTGTAATCTAAATTAAGCGAAAAATCGAAACTGAGCGTGAACAAATTTTAAGACTTCCTGGAAAAAAACGCAAAAAAATCAGCAAGACCTATATAAGAAAACTCACTACGTTTTTTACTCTTGAAAACACAGTCTTTGTTGAAAAAATCTCAACTTTCGAGTTTCATAGAAAAGAATAGATGCCCTTTAAGCTCTGAATTTCCAGAACGATTTATGACTGGCGCTTCTTTGATAACATTAACCCAACATGAGAAAATTAGATCAGCAGGTAAATTTTTTATTCAGCTGGAACTCTTAAAAATAAAATCCACTTTCGAAATTGGAAATCGTTCACGTTTTTTGCGCCATTTCCACGTTCGTATTTGGAGAGTGCTATTTACAACACTTTCATCAGGTGAATTTCAATTGAGCGCGAAGAGTGCATATACACCTAAGACCATTCATAATTGCATCAATATAAATGAATGCACATCTGTAGTTAATAGAGACTTTTAAGCATATTTTAAGACTGTCCTCAAAAAAAGAAGAGGAAAAAATCAGCAAGACCTACATAAGAGTACTCACCACGTTCATTACTCTTATAAAAACACTGACATTGTTGAAAAATCTCAACTTTCGAATTTCAAAGAAAACAATAGATGCCCTTTCAGCTCTTTGAACTTCTAGAACGGTTTATGATTGGCGCTTTTTTGATAAGATTAACCCAACTTCAGAAAACTGGATCAATAGGTAAACTTTTTATTCAGCTGGAAATAATAAAAAAAATTGATTCCTCTTTCTAAACTAGAAATCGTCCACGAATTTTTGCGCCATTTGCACGTTCGTATTTGGAGAGCGCTATTTACAACACTTTCATCAGGTGAATTTCAATTGAACTCAAAAAGTGCATATATACCTAAGACCATTCATAATTGCATCAATATATATGAATGCACATCTGTAGTTAATAGAGACTTTTAGGCATACGTTATGACTTTTTCCTGAAAAAAAAATCAGCAAGACCTATATAAGAGTACCCACTACGTTCATTACTCTTAAAAAAACTGACTTTGTTGCAAAAATTCAATTTTTGAATTTCAAAGAAAACAATAGATACCCTTTAAGCTCTTTGAATTTCTAGAACGAATTATGATTGACGCTTTTTGATAACAAAAACCAAACTTGAGAAAACTAGATCAACAGGTAAAGTTTTGATTCCGCTGGAATTCTAAAAATTAAAATCCTATTTCAAAACTAGAAATCATTCACGTTTTTTTGCGCCATTTCTACGTTCGTATTCGAAGAAAGCTACTACCGTCACTTTCACTAGATGAATTTCAATTGAACTCAATAAGTGCGTATATACCTTAGACCAATCAGAAATGCATCAATATATATGAATGCACATCTGTAATTATCAGAGACTTTTAAGCACATTTTAAGAAATTTTCCTGAAAAAAAAAAAACAAGAAAAAAAATCAGCAAGACCTATATAAGAGTACTCACTACGTTCATTACTCTTAAAAAACACTGACTTTGTTGAAAAAATCTCAATTTTCGAAATGCAATTAAAAAAGATGCCCTTTAAGCTCTTTAAAATTCTGGAACGATTCATAATTGGTGCTTTTTTGATAACATTAACCCAACGTGAGAAAACTGGATCAACAGGTAAAGTGTTTATTCAGCTGGAAATCTAAAAATGAAAATTCATTTTCGAAATTAGAAATCGTTTACGTTTTTTGTGTCATCACTACGTTCATTACCCCTTTAAAATATTATAGGTGTAATAATCGTCAATACACTCGAAAAACATGATTTTTTTAAATTTTTCAAGATAAAATGCGCTTTTTTCTTTTGTTTTGCTCGAAAGTTGTGAAAAAGACAACTAGCCTATCAAACTTTGAGTGTATCCAAAGCGAAGTATGCAAAAATTCTCAACAGGTCTATAGTTTGCACAAATCATTGAATCATTTCAAAATAATGGTTGTGAAATCGAGTGAGTAAATTGGTATGTAAAATCTAACAATCGGTTCAAGGTCTCATCTCGCTACTATTGCATCGAAGTTGCAGACGCGCACGAACACTTGCACGAGTAGCTCCATCCAATTTGAAACAGTGCACTGGATTTTAAAAAAGTAACTTCTGAAGTAAAAATAATTTTACCTCTTTTCTGACGAAAAACTTCCAAGGCACTTGATCATATCTGAGGAAAGGCGTTTTCTTCGTGCGCAGCAACACTGTGTTTCCCATATCATCAATGACAAATTCTAAAACAATTCCCACGCTGGACCTGGACTGCAAACTAAGTTGATTGTATGATAGATACGTATTTCTATATTGATTGTTACCAACTCATAACCCAGTAAACATTGATGATCGATAGAAAGATTCTTCGATATACAACCTAATGAGCTAACTCTTCATGGCAGCGCCAGCGCAGCTGTTAGACTCATGGTTCCTAATTTTGCCCTCAAAAACTCCTTTAGTTTCAAATGAATCAAGTCAGATTCAACTTACTTCTGACAGTCAGCGCCACGCTTTCCTTGTAATTCTCCACTTTGGACGTTCTGAACTCGTATACCTCTGGCTTCATCACAACAGGCTTCTGGTTATTCAGCACGGAGTCCAGTCGCTTCACCGCCGAGCTCACTTTCCCCTGTGTGATGGACGTCGGATTGGTTGATGACGACACATTTGTAGTCTGACTCATTTTCCGAGAACTGAGAGCCGATGATGACGTCATTTCTCGTTGCGCCGCCTGTAAAACAAAATCTGTTTTATAAATTATATGTCATGAACTTTAGTCATTGCTTACTAGATTCCCTCCTTAATGAAACATTGCATCATGTATAAGCCATCCATGAGAAATCAACCATCATAAAAAAAACACCAAAATTGGAACAAACTTGCAAAAAAAAATTATTTGAATAACTTAAAGTAATTAATTAACTCGATACACACAATTAGTACTTATCTACGTACAACACTGCTGTTCTTCGGCTTCTGAATCTGCGCATCTGAGACTGTCGTTGACCTCACTTCGGAGATTGAGTTCCTGGCTCCGTTTGCAACCAAGGGTGGTACCCCTTGTTCCTGTCATACAAAATCTATATTATGAAGTTGTTAGGATCACTTATCCACAAAGGAAACGACTAACACGATGCTGTTGTGTCCACATTAAAGTATATAAATGAAATTTCGTGGGTTGTTTTTTTTTATTTGAAAATGTTGCCTCTAACTCGCAAGACACGAGAGAGGATCATGGTGGTTCTCCAACCACCGAAGTTTCAGTTGAGAGGCGGAGCCTCCGTCACAGCCCATTGCTTTTCTTATTAGTAGCACAAAGTTAACTGTCTTATTTTTCTAGCTGAAGTTCATTTAGTTTTGTCCACACGTTTATGAACTAAATGCATTCAAACCCCCTTTTCAAGAGATGAATTGGAATAACTTCTCGGGCCTCGTTCACATTGCCGACGACACATTCAGCTTTGCTTGAAAAATAAATTTAACTATCGAGTTTCAAAAGAAATTACTTCATGCATTAAATGAAGATATTAAAACGAGATAATAAAAAATTCTTGTCGTTACTTGAATGGGCAACAAATCAGTTTTGTTTAAATACGATAAATTGTTAGTGATAAGAAAAAAAATAAAACGAGAAAATTTATGAAAAAATTTGATTTTCAAATTGTCACCATTTCATATTTGACGGCTTCGGAAGGCGTCATATGTACAGAATGTTCCGCTTCTCCATCGTATACGGTTGACAGATGTCTGTTTTTAGACGATGCCACCAGACTGTTCAGAGCAGGTCGCTTCGAGGATTCTCTTCTTACTGGTTTCTTATTTTCGTTGTCACGCTCTTGTTTCAACTCTGAATTCCGCTTCAGCAATCTTAGTACACACAAAAAAAATGAAAAATTCGTGGAGAATGAAGATGTGAAGGCATCTTTTAAACGTGTAGTTAGATATAATAAATTGAAAAAATAAAACCATAAATTTAAGCGAACATGCTTCGAATATAACTATGCAATTTTAATGAGGCCGGACCATTCTAATACACTTCAAGACTCTTTTTATTATAATTTGGAAGCTAAAAACTATTCGAAATACCTAAGCGCTTCTTGATGTGTTTTTTCGTCTTCTTGAACAGCCAAATCTTTGTTGAACAGGCTTTTCCTGTTTTCTGTAATTGTCTTCGTGCTTGCTGAAAATGCAACAGGAGGTGCAACTCTTGGCTGCCCGACTGAAGTGTCATAATTCTTGGAAACATTTGTCGTAGTCTTCGCCCCAAATTGAGCAGGTGGTTCTGGAATTGAGAAGCCAGTTTCTGTGTCTGCGAATAGGTTGTCAGGTTCATCTTCTCCGTCGTTTTCACTCCCGAGATACACTTCCGACCGGGCTCGATTTTTCCGCTTCCTAATTCAAAACAAAATTAATTACTCAACAGATAGCGCCGACAAAAAATACAAAATTTGGCTGAGGAATCAAAGGTTTTACGGGTCTTTCCAGTTAGGCCATCCCATAATAGTACAAGGATAGCCAGTTACTGTGCAAGTAGCACAGAATGTTCCGACCATGGTCTTTAGAAAACTACGGTTTAGAAAGTTTTTTTCCAAATTAGTGTAGTTTTTTCTGCTTGGTGTGATAAAAAAAATCCGATGTATAAAAATAATTTAGGCATATTAGACAGTCAGAGTAGCAGAGTCAGATTGGACAAAAATTTTTGTAAAAAGGACAAGAAAACTTTTGAAAAAATCGCGTTTTTTGGCGCGAACTCCCCTTCAAAATTAGTATACATTGGCGGTCGGCCGAAAAAGGGTGGCATAAAATAATACAAAGAGGACCTTTAGGTTGCTGAGGGGGTCGAATCCCTGAAGGCGGAGGGCGTAAAAAATTCGCCCCTATAGGTGAGCTATCAAAATTTTTTTACTAGGCTAGAGAAAAATACTAATTTACTTCAGTTTATGGCTTAAAAAACCGTGCATATTCCTTTCTGCCTAAAATCCTAGTGCCAAGACCAGCTTTTGAAGCAACAAATATCATAACTCTAATTTCGGATACAGGTTTCATGCTGCGTACATTTCATTTAACAGATTGGCCCTTGCATCTTTCACGTCAGGCACACTCTTCACTCTCAGCTCCATCATTCTCTGGACTGCCAATGCTTTCTCCCCCAGAGATCCATTCATGCTACCGTCACTTCCAGAGTCCCCCGAGAGAGCGACTCCTGCTCTTGGTCTGCTGGATCCCTGGTCTCCCCCACTAGACTTCTCCGCTGAGTTTCTTTGGGAGACCGACATTTGCTTCTTGTCCAGATGGTCGCCCAACCCTCGTCCCGCCAGGAAAATACCTTAAATTAAAGGTCAGATTAATTAATTCGCAGAGTACTGAAGTAATTAAAAAAGCTACAATGAGAAAAGCTAGGGGAAAATGGTCTGGCCAATATAGTAACTATTGATCCATCCAAGCCACTAGCAGTAAAAACGGTAAAACATAGCCAACACAGTTATGAAACGGTCAATATACCCAAGGTACCAAAAAATTATAAATAATGCTCTTTAAATTTTCAAGATCGAGTATTTTTTTTACTCTGCTGGAAAAATTACAACTTCCACGTTTAATTCAACGTATTTTTTCCATGAAAATGAGCGCGAAATTTTTTTAGACATTATCTGACAGATATGTAGATCTAAGCCGAAAAGGACAGCAAGAAAAGACAGAAAGTAGAAAAGAACAACAAAGGATTAACCAAGAATAGGACATCAAATTATCTTACAATTGAAACATGGCTACAAAAAGACAGTTAGCTAACCTTTGTTATCTGCCAAAACATGCCAACTATCACGAAGCAATAAGATGTTTTAACTTAGAAAGTCTTATCTCGCTTTCAAACTAGGGCGGTTTTTAACTGAAGAAGAGCGCCGTACTTCTGGCAGTCCTTTTAACCGTACAAAAAAAATCGATCACATTTTTCTGACCTTGACTTTTGAAGTCCTCTGCTACTTTCAAAACATGCCCTGCTTTGTTCTGCTTCAGAAGTTTGACAGAGTTCTTCATTTCTTTCGCAGTCATCTCTCGGGGTTTCCCAAAATCAGAGGCATCCCATTTATCTAAACAAAATTCATCACCTTATAACTTTAGGTTAAAGGGCAGTCTATAGTTAGGCAATTGTTTCATTTCAGGCAGTCCCCTTCGAAGCTTTGTTCAGATTTCAAAATACAATTCTTTCCATGATTGATGTCTATTTTTTAAAAAAAAGTTGCACTTCTGCATTGATACGTTTCATTAAAACACTTCACAAAATTCCTGGACATTCAAAAAATTTCAGTAAGGCGCAAAAAAATTCAGGGAGTGAGTCGAAATATAACTGCAATACATGTTGCAAAAGACTACTTGAACAATGTATAAACTGACTCTAAGCTAAACTACACACTTACATGCTCCTGATTGATGGGCTGAAAGAAGGCAAACGGTCAGTTTAAGATAGTTAGTGCACACAGGCGATGGAACCCTTTGAGGAACTAAGCAAAAAAGTTAAAAAAAATTGTAAATAAAAAATGAAACATAAAATGGACAATAATTGGAAATATTTACAGATTTACCAATTGATCAGAAACTGACCTTACCTTTATTGAATTTTCAAATTCTTTAGTGGTAGATGAAAATTAATATTTTGAAGCAAAAACCTTAGATTAAGTAGATAAAACTGAATCAATGAGTTTTTCATTCTGCTTGGAACTTTTAAACATGTGAAGAAAAAAATGATGTTCAATTTGAAGAAAACACGTCCCGCAAAACGATCGCCGGCGTGAACCAAGTGCTCAGAATTTTTTATCGCGCGTCAAATAAGCTCGCAAAACTAGTGAAAGCTCCCATTGATCCGAAAACAAATTTTTAGCCATAAAAACTTTTAGCGGAAAGTTCTGAAATCCTAAGAGTGTTAGCCTTTTGTGTTTACGAAAGATGACGCAAAAATTAGGTTAACCTTCGAACGCCGCAAAGTTAAAACATAAACCGAAACCATTTAGACGGATTAAAGCTTTTAAGCAAAAAAAAAACAGAAAAGGAAAACGTACAAAGTCAGGGCTAGAAAAACAATGAATTACAGGAATAAATCAAAAACACTTGCTCTCCTATAAAAACTGTTTCCAGCACAAAAAAATCTTAGCTCTGAAAAGTACGCCGACAATTCGTAGTCAGATGAAAGATACGCTAAAAATTGTTTGAAACCAATATTTTCCACTTGTAAAAAAAACAGGTCATGGCCGACTCCACTTTGGGACGTTTGCCGCATCGGTCCTAGTCATTGCGTCTAGGCTAAGTGAACTGATTCAATGTAGACAAGTTGTTTACATGATAAAAGTCAGTTGCGATTTGACAACACGTGACAATCGCGATCGTAAATACCGCATGCGTAATAATTACGTGCGATCAGAATTGACGTTCAAAACGTTACTTAGCAAGCAAACATTTCCGCAAGCAAAACAATTTGAAAATCAATTACCTCGGACTTTTGAAATATCATTGGGACTTTAAAATGGCATTCAGAGTTCTTTACGAAAAGTATCAGACCAGGTTGCAATACCCTTGCTTATCACAATGATAAAACATACCATTTGAAATGACTTTGATGCTCTGAGACACTGCATGCGATGCAGGAGCCACGGGAGCCGGTTTCTTCTGTTTGTCACTGGATCCATTCACATCCCCATTCAGCTCAGCCGTTGGTTCCACTGACTTGTAGTTCGTCTCCTCGCCCTTGATCGCTTTCATTAGTCGATTTACTAGTTGTTGCTGACTTGGCTGTGAGTCATTTTGTTCATGTTGGGATACTACTTTTTCACATTCGTCCTTGACCCCTCTGATAAGGAAGTCGTGATGGGAGGACATGCTGTAGTCTGGCTGAGGATAGTCATCATTCGTGTAGTGAGAGTTCATTCTGAAACCAGATACACTCGACCTGATTTGCTTTTCTCATATAATTAATAAAAACAATTTGGACGAAAACAAAAAATACAGAAAATGTCGATAATGTTTTTATTTCAATGCATAAAGCATAAAATTGAATAAATATCCAAATTCATAGGACAATAATTATTTTTGACAGCAAAATCATGCAAAAATAGCCGCACCTGTTTACACTAGCTGGCTGAGGCGTATTCGTGACATGGTTTTCTTCACCACTCGACTGCATAAAAAACGACAGGTACTCCGTTTCTGCAATAGAGTCAAACACAAATGAGTATCCGGGCAGCTCCTCGATGGCGTAGTCCGGTTCAGCGTTGCCCATCGAATATTGCGACACCTGTGGTTTCAGCATCGACAACGTCCATCCACTACAATTCTCATCTGGTAAATTCAGATAGTGCATCAAATGCAGAACTACTTCTTCACAAGTATCCCACGAGTCAATTTGGGTCAGGTGACTCAAAGAGTCCAGAAGTGAGAGTTCGATAGACGTTCCGAGTAGTCTATCATTTGCTAGCCATTCCAGCCACGTAACAGGACCCCGTCTCATGATCACGTGATTGGTTGCAAGACTACACTTCAGTAACTTCTGCTGACAAATTGACTTGTACCCATTGAACGCCCAGTCCGATACGTATTTCAGGAGGTAGTTTGAAAACTGCGGGCTCGGAGGGAAAGTGTCCAAAAATGCACACATTATAATCCAGGCTCGCTTCTGGTGCATGTTATTTTTCAGTCTCCACGTTTGACTGCACAACTGGATATATGCTTCGTCTCTCAACACAGGTTCGCTTTGGACAATCTTTATAATATAAGCACAGACAACTTTCATGTGTTCCCAACTCAGACTCTCTTCGTACAGACAGTAAAGTAAAGTTTTGTTCAGCATTTCTACCAATGGGAAGTAAGATTCGTGGATTCGCACGTGGTACGGCATTTGAAGCCATTCACGACACTCGCCCCAAATGAGGTCGCCCTAAAAACAACAACACAGTCTTTATTCAACGACTTTTAAAATAACTTCGTGATACTATTTAGATTTAAAGAGTGAATAAACCTGCCGAAGAATAAACCAACCGAAAATGCGCGGAGTATATAAGCCAACCGAAAAATTACGTCACATCAATGGCGTTTACATGACTTTCGTAACTGTTACATAATTGTTACATAATATAACACTTATTTTTGGCTGGTTCATACTTCGACTGGTTTATATAACACTGATTTAAAGTGCGGCTCTCTATTACATCAGTCTGCTCGTAACCTCGAAGATCAATAGTTCATGCGACGACAAATAAGAAAAGGGATAAAATTTGGCTCCTATAGTCAACATGGGTTCATCTTTATTGGGTCGCATTTAGTTTTGTGCAAAAAAACTACCCTTAAAGACTACTTTACGCCGAAAGCTATGGCTCATTTAGCATGGAAAGCGAGATGTCTGTTCCGGATTTCCTTCGCTGGTTTGGATTGAACTGACCCTGAGGTTGATGTTGGTGTACTTGGAGAGGGAGTAGCTGTCTATTCTGTCAGGCAATTCCAGATTCAGAAGTTTGAGAGCCACATTTTTGTGTTCTATCCTAGCCACTGCGTCGTCCTCTACATTAGCCCAGCTCAGATCTATAAAAACAATATTCAAGCATTGAGTCGGTACAGTAAAATAATTCCCTAATAAAGAGTGGTATTTAAGTTAAAATCGAACATTGTGCTAGGGATTTTAGCAGACCGGTTTTTTAGCAGACATATCTTTTAGCAGACTCGGAACAATTAGCAAGCTAGAACACTAACTTCAAACGCGGGATTGGCGATTAGCGACCGCTTGCTACGCCACGTTTCCTTTGTGGGCAGGAGTGTAATTGTACGCGTAAATCTTTGTTTTGACGCTAATTTAGACTATTGTATCTTCAACAATAAAACAGAGGCAGAGCGTGAAACAATCGCAGGCGCGAATGAAGTGTTCAGAAAAGTTTACTGAGCGCCAAACACATAGGCTAAGCGCTTCGCAAACACTAGCGAGAACAGGACAAAAACCAGCTCTATAAAGTGCAATAAAGAAAAAGCACAAATAAGCCTCGCATTAGATCAAATTCGGCTACGTTTCGGATTCGATCTGCGACCTATTAGAGATTATGAGTCACACGCACTAACCACAGACGCTTAATAAAAAACAAACAATGCCACAAATGAATCAGAGAATAGATGCTATGAAACTTCCAATGATACAGATCGTGATTATAGCGAGTGAAGAAATAAGTGAACACTTTTACTTGCAAGTTAGGTTAGAAAAGAAACAAGACTGCTCGTATCAGGGCGAAGCACTGAATGTTCCGACTGCCCTTTAAGGTTTATGGAGCAGCAGTAATAACATAAAAAAATTAAATGAAATAAAATAAAAAAATTTTTTCTAAAATTTGAAATTTTTTATGAAAATTATCCCCCTCACACGCCATATAAAGTACAAAAGGATAGATTTCGTTCCTTGTAATAAATCAATTATGGCAAATAAGCTTCTTCCAACCAATTTGGAACGATTTCTAAGACGGATTAAATCTCCGCTTACGCGTTAAAAGCGCGAACTATATCGCGCGTTAATTGTCCCAAATTGGTCAAAATGGCAATCTTTAAACCCCCATAACTTTACGAAAAATGATCACAGGTGAAATATCTTTTCAAATTTAAGCTCAAGACATCAATACCTTTTGAATGATATAAAAAAATTCCGTCAAAAATGGCTAGTTAAAAAGTCGAAATTTGTCTGAAGAAAAAAAACCCACCCCGAGCACAAATATTCCGTTACTTTCGTATCGAAAGTCGGAACAAAAAGGTTCGGGCTAATTGCGCTAGGGATTTTATCAGACCAATATTTTAGCAGACTGAGAACAATTAGCAAGTCAGAAAGCTAGCTTCAAACGTGGCATTGGCGACTGCTTGCTCCGTTCGTTTCCATTCGGTACGAGTGTTATTATATTGTGCACGTAAATCTTTGTTTTGCCGCTAATTTAGACTGTTGTATTTCTGAAGTTGATAGTTTTCGTGACAAATCGTGAGAATATTTTCTTAAACAGGGAAGCTTGACCCAGAGTGAGCGTGTTTTTACGCCTGTGCCTACATCGTATCTCTAATTCTGTGCCTAGATCGTATCTCAGACCTCGAGATTAGGAGTCTCAGGTTCTAGCATCTGCGCCAGGGCTACTTGCAAATATACAAAACTTAGCCACCAAAACAGCAGCTACAGATGCTATTAAAATCCAATGCTTGGAAATACAGATGTTCCACTAACCGAGAACTTTTATTTGAGAACTGGTTTGGGAAAAAAGGATTCGTAAAATAACACTACGCTTGCTTGTGTAAATAACTAAATCAGAAATTTCATTCTTTCGCTTTTTTCAAAATTGTAGAGAAAAATGAATGTGTTCAGGATTATTTCTCCTCACTCACCACCACTCAGGATCTCCGCCAGGTCCTCGGGCACCACATAAGTCATGGTCTGCCTCGTGGCCCCCATTCTGGCCAAGTACACGTCGTTGGACTGCTGTATGGACGCCTCCAGAGCCCTGATCGCATCCTGCTGAGTCTTGGTCCTGTGTCTGCTCCTAAGTGTCAAGTAGTGCTGTCTCGTTTGCTTGCCTCGCCTGTAGGCCTGCAGTCTAGTCACTGCCCACTTATAGCGCAAATATTTCTGCCTAAAATCACAAATTTAACTAAACTGAATTTATTCCTCGGTAAAGTTTAATCTAGTGCTTTTAACTATCGAGTAATCGAAAACTAAAACAGCTTTTAAAAAACTGAACTGATTGTACTAAATGATGAAATTGGTGCCCATTGAAATCTACTCAGTTAAATATTTTGAAAAGCGTTCAAGCTGATGTCTACTCGGTAAATTGATAATGAATGACTAACGATTTAGCCCATTGCCTGAAAATTAACACGTGATTACAAAATTTCAGGTTTTAGTTAATAAATTGAACTAGCGTGTAACGCACCTCCGGTGCTTCAAACGGATTACTGAAAGTGAAAGTTGCTAATGAATAAAATATATACACAGAGGCGAAACTGCGCTTCGCACCATTTCCGATATAAAACCAGAAAGCCGCTGCAAAATGATCTTTCAAAATGAATCAAGTCAAGACAATCAAATTTGAAAACCACATCAAAAAAATTCCAAGACGAAAACACCTTAGCAGAAAACACTTCAAGCCGAAAAAAAAATCAACAAGACTTAGGACTCAACAAGACAAGACTTAAGACACACACCCTCAAAAATCACACAAATTCATTTGATGGTCAAATGAAACAAAACGAGGCCATCAAGCCGATATAGTATAGGTCAAAATCTATTCAGCCGAACAAAAAAAAACAAAAGCCGAAAAACCGAAAAAAAGTTAAGACAAATAAAAAATTACTAAGTCCTCTCACCCTCAAAACACACACACGCAGACACACATTCAAATTTTTTTGCTCTTCGAAAGACGCGATGAGGCCATTAGGCCGATATAATAAAAGCCGAAACCTATCAAGCCGACAAAAACAACAATTTCTATTCAGATTTTAGAAATTTGTGCAATCCAGAGAGAGCATATTTTTTTCGCTTGTTGAAAGACGCAATATAAGGCCACTAATCCGAAAAAATAGACTCAAACCTATCGAGCCGAAAAATAAACGAGAAAAATGTTGTCATGAAAAACTGGAACGGTAATTTCTATTAAGACTTCAGCAATTTGGCAATCCAGAGAGCATAAAAATTATGTTTCCGTTCAAACGACTCAAAATTGAGCCACTTAGCCGATAAAGTATGAACCGATATAATTTGGGCAGAATAAAGTTTCTAAGCGAAAAAAAAACAAAAAAACAAGAGAAAACAAATGAAGATAGGAAAATACCAGCAGCAGAAGTAAATCAAAACTCTGCAAGCAACTTCACTGTAAATTGCGTTCAGCAAAAAAATATTACGATTTGGCAACAGCCCATAAAAAATAAGCTGACAATATTTTGTTTAAAAAACAGGTCCTGTCAGATTCGAACCAAGGACCTTTGCCGTCCAAGGTGTATTCGCTACCTCCAGACCAAGTGAGTCAGAGAAGGAATATTGAATTTATTATGAACTGAACTTAAACTTACCATTTCTAATTTTGACCATTCTGTGAACAAAATCATTTACGAGAAAAAAGTCTAATAACCGATTGCAATACCCTTGCTTATCGCAAGAGTAAAAAAACGATTGCCAAAACAACAAACAGGGCAATCCAACAACGCTTTTGATTTTCAACTTGAAGGCGTTTTAAACGAAAATGGTCAAATCTCCAAAACTATTGGGTTGCAGATCTTCGTATTTTCAACTCATCAACGAAACCCTAAAATGGCCGGCAGCATACAACTTGACATTCCATATATTTTCAAAAGTCCCTGGTACGCTGGTAGTAAGCTGACATCACCCCACCAAAGGGTCGACCATATCAGTTTCCAAATGCAACACTTTTGAAAGCTTTCTAAAGGAAGAAAAACGTAATACCTAAGAAGTTAAAAGGCAGTGAGCAGTCATATTTGGAGTCCAGGTAAACATCCTGAGAGTAACCTAAGCGCACCCGCTATAGTTTAAAGTACTTCAAACTTTGGGATTTTTTAAATCTTACTTTTTTTTTGAAAAAATTTGAAAAGTAAAAAAACAGCAAATATCCTAAACTAAGATGGTTTGAGCAATCAAACTTGGAAGCAAGATCTGCAATTTTTAACTTCAAGTTTTCTCAAAACTTTAGAAAAAAAATCACTTAATCGTCGTGTCTTGCAAACTAAAAGCCATTAGGTGTTCATAAATTGAGGCCAAAATCGCAACTCCTGGAGAAACCCTGACACCATCCCACTACTGGGTTGCTAATTTTAAACTTGGTGAAATGAACACTGAAATCAAACGGCAAAATTGAAAAAAAAATTCTGAACCATAGCAATATACCATACAGCTTAGCTTAACCGTGTGAAAATTCTTTTATTAAACATGCAAAAATAATACGTTGAAAAAACTTGGCTAGATATTGAAGTCGGCATTCAAATATACCTTATATAATGGACACATAATAGATTGAACTGTTCCGCTTATTCACGTTTAATACTTGATTTTCCTACTTGGCAGAGTATTGTCGGAAGTATTTCTGAATCACAATAGCCGACTGTCGTTTCAGCAGAAACTTCTTTCTCAGAGCCACACCTCTGGCCCATGACTGGATTCTGGCAGCAGCTGCCCAAGTGACCCGATTGCGCTCCACTTCCAGGAATCGCTCAAGATCTTCGCGCATAAACACCTTCAGAAACATGTTTAATATAACCAAATTGGTACACGTTTGCCAATCGCATGCGTTAATGACTTAGTTTTTTATGTTTCCGAGATTCAATTTAACCAAAATAATTTTAAACTTTTGGCTCAATGCTACCAAACTTTTCTTAGAGCGAAAAAAAAAAGGTAGACAAAGCGTTTCAATTTTTTCGAATATCTGCGCTCGTTAGGGTTCGAAACTCCAAATCAACTCCTTTATGAAGAAATTTCCGGAAATCATAAGCAAGATTATATGTATCACAACACTTCTAGCAAATAGCAAGAATATTTCTAGAAATAACCATAGAAATTTTCTCGATATTTGCAAAAATACTTGTAGCAATATTATTGAATCAAATATCACAGAGACTAAAAAAAATTATTGCAGTCAAAGCTAAATATTAACCTTGGTAAGACCCAGTTGAAACTGCTGATTGTATTTTGGATGCAGTCCTTTTAGATATAGTTCACATATTTCCCTCGCTTGCATAGTACGGGCGACGTTCCTGGACCCATAGAGTTCCAGCATCAGACATCTGTACCGGTTGATGAAGGCGGCGAAGTACATGCGGATAGGGTATCCTAGTTTTCGGATCTTGATTGTTTCCAGGATTCCCAAGTAGTTGAGCTGTGCAACTACTAACTGTCTATCGAACTCTTTGTGACTCTAAAAAACAAACCATCATCAAGAAGAAATAACTTCAAGGTTTTAATAGCAGAATACTTATAAGAGTAAGACTAAGCTAAAACTGTTACCAAGCAAATAGTCCCAGAAAAAAGTGTTAGAACTTTGGCAGAGATTTCATACTTATTTTGTTACAGACTAGATCTACCCTGAAGCATAAATAATTTTCACAATTGGTTAGTGATGTTTAATACGACTGCTTTTTACAATAAGAACTTAGGCTCAATATTCAGAAGCAGTGCCATTTAACAAAATCAATTCTCAGCAATTTTCAAAGCGCAGAAATAGATTTTAAAAATTACCTTTCGCTGAAATTTTTAATACCATTAATTTGGAATACCTTGCAAAACAATCGTTTTTGCTGCCAATTTAAAAATTTACTCCACGACTGAACTTTTACCTTTGTGTTGTTGGGTTTGATGCAGCGGACAAAGAAGGGATTGCAGTGTCCGATTACTGTGATCAGATTGCTGAGGGAAGTCTGGAATTTTGCAGCCACCGTTGGCGCCTTTCTTTTGCTCAGTGCTCCTTGGGACCTGGTGGTCGCTTGAGTTTTCGTCACTTTTCCCGATGCCACTAACTTAGCAATGTCACCACCCGACCGATGGCCGATTGTGCGGTCTAGCTCGAAGGTGTGCAGCTCAGCAAATATTTCACTCACCAACTAAAACAAAATTTAAGCCATTGATGTGGCAAACTTTGGGGTAATATACAAATATCTGCAATATACTTCAAATTTACCCACATTAAAACCAAAAAAAAGAAGTATGAACTTTTCTACAAGCATCAAAAATGGTGATTATTTGAAAAGTTGACCACTTTCAAAAAAGGGAAAAAATAAAATCTTCGCTTGAAAAAACTATTATTTTTTCAACTATTATTTTTTAAAAACTATTATTTTTTCAACCAAATCAACTCGATTTGATAAGATTAAAATCAAATCATCTACAAAGAGGCAAAGTTTTTTTCGCAAGCCATTCCAAAAGGCTATAAGGATCTACTTAACAATCTCCACCCCTTTCAAGAAAAGGGGGGATTGTTAGGTAGATCAAAATGGTCGATTTTTCGACCAATCAGAATGCAGCAAAATTAGAATTCTCAATAGAAAGCTGTGCTAATTAACTGTAATTTTTATTTGTAGGGGTGAGGGTTCGTAAGTAGTTACCATACGGGGGGGGATTGTTAATACAGAGTAAAACTCAAGAAATAAAGAGCCTCCTTCAAAATGAATTGAACTCAGAGCATTACGTTCTTAAGAGCTCAGAGAAAAAATGAATTCAGCCTACTAATAATTCACATCGCTAATTCAAGAATCACGGTCACTAACATTTCATTCAAAAAGGCATTTACTTGCCACAATATTGAAAAAAAATCGCCTCGAACATACAAATAGAACAGGCAGCAGCTATAATTTAGTTCAAATGTAATGAAATGAAAAAACATACGCTTCAATACGCGGATATAAAACTTTTTCGAGAATTATATATTTTAGACTCTTTCCAATTTATTTAATGGCTTTAGAAACCAGTTATCTAGTGTTATAAAGGTTCAGCATGCATTAATCTTAATAGACTAAAAAAGCGGATGACCTAGACTAAATTGTGATACGCTATTTTTTAAATAAGTCTATCGACTCTTTACACTACGAAACTAAAAGTCATTCGCGTTTTTTCACGCCGAAAAATTCTTAATTGCATATTTTGAATTCCTGTTTTGTCTGAAGTATGAAACGGGAACAAAACGACAATGAATAACACAGCATATATGCAAAAGATGATATACAACACAGCCGAAGTACAAACCAGCCGAAAATACGTAAGTGTTATATAATATTTATGAAACAGTTAAGAAAGTCATGCAAATTTCATTGATGTGACGTAACTTTTCTGCTAGCTTATTATACTCTGCGCTTTTTCGGTTAGTTTAGTTCGGCTGGTTTAATTTCATATGGAAAAACTCGTAGCAGGAAGCAGTCTGCAAGTAAAAATGCGGGTCACTTCTGTTATACGGCCAAAAATTATCAAATTATTAATTAAGCTGCTTTATTGAGAATTCAAATTTACTTCCGCTGGAAGCAATTCCAACCAATTAGATTGGTTCTTTTCGGCGAGAGTTCTCATGCTTGAAGGACCGAATGCTTGAAAAATTTCAGCCAATCAAAATCGCTAATCGATTTTGGAGAAAATATGGATTTTTCCTAAACTCACTTTGAGTGCAGCCTACCTAGATGCGTTCAAAAATAGCCGCATTTAATAAAGAAATTGAATTAAAACATTAATTCGTAATTAACAGCATACAAACTCAATCCCGTATTAAAAATGTGTAAACTACTTTTATTTAGGAGGGCCTTTACGGTAAGTCACTTAGGGAGGGGAGGGGGGGGGGGTTGTTCAGTTGATCCGGCGTTGAATGATTTCAACTTCAGCGAACTCGGTGTTCTGTCAGTTGGGCCTTCCCGGTCTCGGGTCGTGGCAGTACCACTGTTCCGGAGTGCGGCCAGTATTTAGACAGCCGCGTATTCATACTGGTCAGTATTTAGACAAATACTGTTTCAACCAATCAGAATCGAGAAAAAACATAAATAATCCAAAATAAATAATAATTATTTATTAATTTCTTCTTTGTCTCGATTCTGATTGGTTGAAACAGTATTTGTCTAAATACTGACCAGTATGAATACGCGGCTGTCTAAATACTGACATGTAACCCACTGTTCCGAAGTACAACAGTGCCGAAAAATAAAATGATGTTCTACAATGCCGAAAATATTTTAATTACTGTTTTTACTCATCCCAAATCACTGACAAGTAATACACTTCAAATGGACGGAAGTTGAAAAAACATAATTGGCCATTTTAATTCTTAAACAAACAAAAGTTCCCCTCGCTGGGTCATAATTTTTTCTGAACAAACATTTAACTCATCAAATAGTGAATTTTTCTCTGAAACAAAGCAGTATTCACTTCACACATAATTGCCAACAATTCACAAACAACTCAAAATTTTCAAATATCATCATTTTTTGGGGATCTATTAATAATCTTCCCCCTTTTAAGAAATAGATTAAATAGATTAAAACAGTCGAATTTTCGACCAATCAGAATGCTGCGAAATTAGAATTCACAATAGAAAGCTCTGCGCTAATTTACTGTATTTATTTAGAGGGGGAGATTGTTAAGTAGATCCCTTTTTCTGAACTGTTGAACGCATCTTCAGTTTCGGCACCAGTAGCGTGCCGAGGGGGGGGGGGGTGCGACTAGCCCCCTTCAAATCTGGTTGCCAATTTTTTCCAAAGTCTTTACGACATCCATTTTTGGCAAACCAGCCTCAAAAATTTTCCAAAATCGCCAATATAACTTATTTTGAGGGGGGAGAGCGCGCCGAAAAAACGCAATTTTTTGGACAACCTTTTCCAAAAAAAGTGCTTAAAACGCCTTTTTTGGGTTTTTTGAAAAATTTGCCTGCGGCACAGAAATTTTTCACAAAAAGGTTCCTTATAGTATCTTCGGAGAGCTCGGGAAAATCAAATTGATTGACCTAAAAAAACCGACCCATTGGTGTTTTTACGGCTGAATAAATAAGAAGATCCCGCTGTCTCTACAAGAGTTTGGATCTACTTAACAATCGCCCTTCCTTTGGTATCTACTTGAGAATTGCCGCCCCTATAAATAAAAGCAGTAAATTAGCACTAGAGAGTTGTATTTAAAATTCGACTTCTGCTGTAATCTGATTGGTCAAAAATTTGACAATTTAATCTACTTAACATTTGTCCCCTTTTCTTGAAGTATATCCAAGTGTTTTTTTACTAACGGGATGAGAGCTGTCGGCCAGCAGGCAGAGTGTCTCGAAGCGCAGTCTGTCCTTGTTCTTCTCCAGGAGTCCGGAGGCGGAGTAGCTTACTGGACCTGCGTAGTGTCTCACTGTGAACTGCAGCTGTCTCAGTCTGTCCACCTGGAACGCCTCACTCTCCGAGTGCACCTGACTCGCCTTCTCCAAAAAGGAACTGTCACTCGCCTGAAACACATTTCATGGATATTGTTAACAATCCCACCTCCCCTATGGTACCTTGTATACTTGAATTTTGCATACGAATTTTGTATATGCTTAACTCCCAGTGGTAAATTAACAAATCTACCAGCCTACCCCTTTAAATGACTAGATCAACGGTATAGTGCAAACTATCTAACTAATAACGAATGCGGGAGAGGGGGGGGGGTTGTTGAAGAAATTTGAAAGTAAACTTATTCAATATCGAGATCACTTTCGACCAGAATGATTTTTTATGCATAAATTTAAATTACGCGACATCTACCCTCTGAATTTTCGATCAATTTATCATCAATTATCGCCAAGTCAAACTGTTAAACAAATTGAACGTTTACAAAGCTCCAGCTTGAAAAACGAAAAAAAAACACCACTGACGCCTTTTAACAGGTTTATTTTTTTAAACAAGAGTCTTGAATGTGCTTTAATAAAACTGCTGAAAAACTAACAAATCGTCTTCTTAGACTTGAGCTGCTCACAGATACTAAAACATGATGATTATTTGTGACACTTGATTTTGTGTGGAAAAAACTATCAAAAAGAACTAAAGCACCCAAAGACTTGTGTGTTCGGAGCAATTAAACTATCTTAAAAAATTTTCACGTCAATTTCATTCCATATAGTTTACTAAAAATTAAAAACGGTGATATTTATTTGATAATAAAGTACCTGAGGGAAGTTGCTTTGGTCATCCAATATATGCAATAATCCAGTTGGCTTCTTGCTCATGAGCTCTATTGTGACAATGTTATCCTTGTAGTCCAAACTGTGCCACTCAATGCGCTCTCGCTGGTACTCCATCTGCAGAATAAAATCACCAGTCAATTTTTATCAAACTCAATAACAATTCAATTAAATGTTATATAATATTTTGCAAAGTACTCTCCTAATTTCAATTTATATTTTGCCGATTCAATTTAAATGCGCACAAAAGATTAACTATTTTACAATATTTGCAAAAATCACAGCTAAATGGAGCAAAAATTACAGCCTTATTTTTTTCGAATTGAAAACCTATTTGATTCAATTATTTTTGCAGTAACGATTCGAGGTCAATTTGAAAAGAAACTTGCCTGCTCAGTTTTGAACACACTGCGAATGAACACTTGCTGGAGGGACTCATTGGCATAATTTATGCACAACTGTTCGAAACTGTTCTTGGGAACCACTTCAAACCCAAAGATGTCCAGGAGATTAATTGCTGGAGCATTCAGTGTCTTGCCTATCGTTTTGTTCACTTTCTGTACCAGCCATTTGAATAGATGGGCGTACAGGGCCTTTGCGATTCCGTCTCTCGCTTCAATCGCCTCTTCTATCTTCAAGGCGGTGAAAATTTTCTCATCCCGGGTTTCCTAGTAAAAACCAATGTCAATGAAGCAGATCCGCAAACATATGCCACAAAAAATCATACTATTAGCTACTTAGTTTCTGTCAATCTTATTCTCTTTCCAAGAATTCGGCCCTTATATAAATAACTAAAACTCCATCTCGGATTTCTGGTAATTGGCCAAAATGCCTCAAATTCTTCAATTGATCAAAAAATCTCCTGTGAGAAAATTCTTGAATCGATCAAAAAAAATTTGTAGGCTCATGAAAATTTGATCGTAAAAACCTAAGCTCGCGAAACCAAAGGCTTGCTATATCATATTACATCTAATGGTCACCAAACTATAATCTTGGGTAAAAAAACCAATAATCTTGAGCAACACCAACCGTCACTCTGTACGTGATGTCATCCACCAAATCACTCGGCTTGACCTTCAACAAGGACGACACCGCGTGAACACATGTGTCCTCCTTCACTTTCGCATCGTCCCCGTCTTCCCCCTGAGTGACAAACTGCACATTGCCCAGATGGAGAATAGCGGCCAGGATGGAGAAGATACCGTCTTGTTCCGTCTGGGAGATGGAGAGCACGTCCATGGCTGAGATGAGTCGCTGAAAGTCCTCGAAGTCATTCTTGCTCACACAGCTCAAATCGCCACCAGCCTAGAAAACAATACACGTTACAGCTTATTCACTTATCCTAACAAGGCATGGTCTCACGAAGTGCTTAGAAATAATGCATTGCTTTAAGTCTTCCAAAAGAATATGACAACAATTGATAACTTAAATGGATAGCATTATATTAATAATTCATATTAACTTTATTACTCGCTTCAACAAGACAAACTTCAGTAGTATAGTAAAAGTGGCTAGGAAAATGACGACTTTTAACCCCCCCCCCCAAAATTTGTTGTGCCGTTGTACTTACCACTTTTAACCCCCAAAGGAGTTAAAGCCCCTGCTTTTTCGGGCACGCATGTTTTAAGGGGGGTTAAAATTGGTAATTTTCCAGCCACTTTATGGAAACGGGAAAGGAATTAAGTTTTGGTTGGTGCATGTTTTCCCTTTGACTTTGACAGTTCAAACTTTACTGCGCGCGTTATATTGTGGATTATTTTGTAATCTTTATCGCCACGTGTGGAATTTAAAAAAATGCTGTGATATTGGTAAGTTTATATTGTTGTTTTGAATACCCCCCTCCCCCTCACGATTAGAGTTGTTGATTATTTCACTTTTCGGTCAAAAGAACAATTTTGAAAAGCTTTATTTCCTGAATGAAAAGTACTATAAAGCGAATCATTTACATTTATAATCAGAAGTTATTTAGTCAGAATCGTCTAATATAAAAGCACGTCGATTTAAGCACCGCCGTTTAGGTGGTCTAATTTCTTCCCGCTCGTTTTCTTCTCGAGCTTCAATGTCCAAATAGGGGCAGTTGTACGCTGCTGGTTCTGACTCATTTTGCCCACTTAGCTGGTCGAAATCTACCAAATCCTGTTCTAGCTCTTGATCAGTGTATGTGGGTTGGTTGAACCCCATATCTGGTGGAGTAAAAATATCCACATAATACCCGCCCTGCGCTTCTATATCTTCAGCCAAATCCTCCCCACTTCCGTTATCGGTGGGAGTGGGGACCACGGCGTCGTCGTCTACGTCGTATTCGCCCCAGTCCATGGTGCGCCCAATTTCTCTTATGAACATATCCTCACGCAAACGTTTATGTCCGAAAGGACTAGTAGTTACTCTGTCTGCATGTATATAGCGCTTATTGTCAAATGCGCTCAGGGAAATTTTATTCGTTATTATGGTTTGTAAATTGTGATTGCAAGAATTTATCCTCACATTTTCTGACCGGACCAGCGAACAGTAAGTCAATGTTTGTTTAAATTTATTATGGGTTAGCTCCATTTTCGAATATTTAGAAATACCTTTCGCGCTTTTTTTGTCCATGTCTGAAACAAAAATACAATCAATTTACTTCAAATTTTTAACAGTTTTTTCTCTTTTCCACATAAATACCTCCATTCCCCCCCCCCCCAACCCTCACTACATAATCTTATGATTTGTTTTTGTTGCCCTTTTCTAAAATGGTAAAAGAAAAGAAAAAGAAACTTACTCGAAGAAATAATGCTGTACAGTTTGGGTTTTAGTTCGACGTACTCCTGTATGATCTCCCCAGCAAACTCGTCCTTGAATTTCAGGGTAACGCGCAAATTCTCGTTGGTGTAGAGGGGGTGGGTGGCTGGTAGATTTGAAAAGTCAAAATGATTTCGCAGTTCATGGTTTTTCTCAATTTCATTGTAGAGATCTTTGCTGCGGATTTCATACAGGAACGAATCAGTGTCCGAATATAAAAGAGTAGCGTCAAAATTTTTCTTGATTATGTTGTAATGGAACTGGAACATGTAAAATTTTGCCAAATCTAGTATCGTTGCACCAACAATTGTGGGCTTATCCCATTTAATGTTCACAGGTTTTGAGGTTACAGATACAAAGTGTTGGTCAATAATTTTTATACTGCTAAATCTTTTTTTCCTTGATAAATTTTGCAGTTCTTCAGCATTGCGAACAATATCTACAATAAGTCGATTCCTTTTTGATTCGCAGAATTTTCCAAACGCACTATTTATTATTTGCTTGAAGAAATCTTGTTCAAACTTGTTAGTAGCTTTTTTTCGGAGCTCAGTGTTCAACTGAACATATGGTGCAATAAATTTTTCTTGTCTAAACTGCAGTACTCGATTAACTTTTTCAATTTTCAAACCAAGTTTGACATAGAGCTGAAGTGTTAGGTAGTGTACAGTATAGTTTTTCTTTGGAAAGAAGTTTTGTATGAGCTTTGGCGTAGTGCCCACTTTATCCGAAATGTTCATTTTTTTTCAACATGTCCAATTGAAGCTCACTGAGCCACATTTTGGACACAACTTCTTTTGTTGGGGCGAGTGGGTAATCCGAATGTGCATCATGCAAATGATCGGGGTATAAAAGATCGACGTCCAAAATGTATCCAATTTCGGATTCTCTGCTCGTGTTGAGAATTTCGGCTATAGTAACTTGGTCATTAAACTCGAATGAGTTAAGTGGAAGAGGAAATTTTTCCATAATCCCGCCATATAAATTGTTCGCGTCTATCATGAAGAGGAAAGTGTTAGGCTGTTTAGGGTCGTAATTTTTCACAAATTTATTGTTGGCGGAAACAAGTCTTTTTTCAAACACACTTGCAATGCCCCCCCTGATCAGGTTTTCTGCCATATCCAAGTGCTCCCTATTAGTGAGCAAATGGAGGTCAGCCTTGCATGTTCGCAAAAATGCATCCCCTGAGAGATTGCTAACCGTGAAATATTGAGCACAATCTAGCTTATATGTTTCATAACACACTCGTCTAAACTCTTCAAAAACGCATGCAAGAATCAAGGTATCAGTTGTTAGATACAAATCGCTGTATTCGCCCAAAGTCTGACAACCGAAACGAGTGTACACTAACCATGCATGTTGGTATTCTTTTTCACTGACACTAACAACACCTCCTTGCAGCGTGTTGGTCCACTTGTCGCGTGCAGGTAGTCCATCTTCTGTGTATCTTGCATGGCTGTCAACATACGAGTAGGGGAAGTAACCTTTTTGTCGAATCAATGCTTTATCTTCTTCCGGTCGGGTAGCAAAGTGGTTATTGAGATATATGAACTTTTCCACGGGTAGATTTCGAGCTAGCTCATCGAGTGAGCTGTTCATAAATTTACAACTGTCCACAAAACGGATTTCTTCGTAGACATGTTGGACATTTCCTTTTTCGTTAGTGTACGATCTAATCCACACTTTCATTGTAAGTGAAATAAATTTTTCGTCATTGAGAGGAATGACCGAGAAGGTGTTTCTGGTATTGGTATCTTGCAGACTCTTCAGTACATGGTGCAAATCATAATTCTGGAGATTGTGGGCAAAGACAGGGGTGAATTGTATGGTACGTCTCAGGAAGTTGCATTTGTTGTGAGCCCATCCGAGGAATGATCCATCGAAATGATTATGGTCCAAAACTTTCGCGTTAGTTTCGGAGAATTCCTCTTCGCAAATCCAGCATTTGTCACTGTCTTCAAGAATAGTGGTGCTTCCGAGGTAGTTCGGCTATCGTCGTTTTTTATTATGAAAGTCACGCGCCAATACTTCCAGCATTCGAACGAATTTAGTCATGGCGTCCACTCCTCGATGAAGTGAAAAAAACGCCGGTTTCGGGTTTCCAGCTTCCACAACGACAAGGCAAAAACTGCTGGGCTTATGTTTTTCAATCACGGTTGTGCTCGAGCAGGTAGGATTATTTCTCACCGTCTCCACCTTCTCCAGCACAGACTCCAAATCAAAGTAAACCGCGAATGGGCTATAGCTTCGAGCACCGATGTTTTTGAAGCCTACGCTGCTCTTGTCAACATTTGGCATGGTAACGATTGCTGGTTCGTTCCCCATGCAGATTAACTGGTGGCGCTCAAGTCGTTCCTCAGATGAACACCGGTGTCAGCAATTTCGGCACAGCATGTTTCTCGATCTCAGTTTTCTTTTTTGCATTTTGCTCACTAGCTTGTTCAGGTCTTTTATCACGACGTAGTGATGCGTGCCCATATCGTTTAGAAGCAGCAAATCCACAACAAAATTAGTCTGATATTTTGACACTCTCAGGGGTAGAAGAGTCTTTTCATTGTACCTAGAGAAAAATTTTGAATGATATTTTTATAGTAATTTTTAGTGTCATCATAATAATAATTCTTCAACGAATGTGCAGCCAACCATTTGTTCTGATGTGCATAGATACAGCTTCACACCAATAAAAAAAAAGATTTGATTAAAACTTCAACTAACCTGAAGACATTCACTTGCACTTCATTCAAAATTTAGAAGCGTGCAATAGCCGGTAGTCCCATTGGGTACACAAAATCACCAGTTGGCTCGTGCGCTCTTGAGTTTCTGCGATAATCATAGAAGCTCGCTTTCTCCTCCTCTCTACTCTGCATCGTACGAAGAGTGAGCGGGATATTGTTCTGCCGATGATACTCAGCAACGAAGCAGTACTCAAAGCATCGATCGTCTTCATAATTGCGAATATTCAACAAGAAGCGTTTGAGTTTCAGTAGATCGGCTGGTAGTGGCAAGTACGATGAACCCCTGATCGGTGCAGACTTCACCATTCTTAGGACAATCTTATCAATCCTGCGGATTCTCCAGCCACTACCATGAGACGCATATTGATGGACAGTAGACAATATTTGGTCTACGCAATCATAGAATTGGTCCTGGGTCCATCCTTGAACGTCTACAGCAAGCATTTTGCAATTGGCGAAGATGGTTATTACTTCTTCTGTGCCATCTGCCTTCTCTTTTTCAAGAGTTACTTCTGCCGACAATTGAGCTTTCTGAGGCTCATAAATAGTATTTTGAAGTATCAGCTCTTCGATTTGGTCTCTCTTGGTCACGAATAGCGCTAGTAGGTCCACTTCCGTTTCCATCGGCACTATATCGTATGTCCTGACTGCTCCATCAAAAGCTGTCTCAGGCTGTATAGAAGTGAGGATTTCTCGGCTCACATCCCATGCTGGCAGACCGTGTTCGTTTAGCATATGCGTAGCATATGCGCGATCATTTTGGAACACATTCATGTCGTAGAGACAAATTCTTCT